TTTACTCTGATAATTTGGTTTGTATTCAAAAACATTGAAAATGGAGACCTTTGGGGGACCCCTTAAATATTGAACAAACACACCAGAAGTAACGTACCTATTGTTTCCATGTCGCAGGCAGCGGTGGAGAAGCACATGCGGGCAGAGTGTTTCCTGCTCTATAACGTGTTGTATGATGGAGTCGTGGACTGCAGTAACTCATTGGAGGATGAGGATGAGGTCGAGTTACCACCGCAGGCCGCCGTCTTATCTGCCTGTACGAGGAACGCATCTATGCCTGTTCTAACCAGTCCAGCCAGGTGTGTTTCGTCTCTGTATTTACTCCGAATTTATGGGAAATGTAGTGTTTTGTTTGGCTTTTCTGATTAAGTTGTATGCAACTGTGAAGAGGAAGCCAACTAAATGAAGAAGAGCATTTTCAATAACATCATTTCATGATTTGTACTACGTGCCGAAGCTGAATACTATGTTCGGAAAGGAAATGATGGATTCTACGGAGCCCCTAAAGGGACATGGTGATGGAAAAAAAAATATCTCAATGCTTTTGGGTTCTCCCGCAATTTGCGGCATCACGGCCGCTATCAGTATGCTATCGAAATCGCGTACTCTGTGTATAGGGAGAACATTTAACAAGTGTCCTTGCTCTGCCCCTTTTATCGAGGATGCATTATGGGAGGACAGTTGAACTTGAGTCAGACAGGTATCCCAGATTGAGTCTCGCACCACCAGCAAGCATCACTGGCCCAGGAGAAAACATATATAATAATATATATATATATATATATTGCTATCGTGTCATAAAATGTATAGTTTTACAGGCGAGAATGTAGTTTCTCAATTTGAAAATGTGATCTGACGTGTGATCCAGGCAATAATCAGAGGATATATTCATCACATATTGCCTGAACCACATTATTATGTTTCAGATTTTTTAAAATGAAAACCAATAGAGGAAGGAGGTGTTTTATATCATATTTTGTTTTATTGTTAATATTCAGTGAGGATGACCGGTAGGGCTGGGTAATAAATATCGATTTCTCGATATTAATCGATTCTCATTTTTACGAACCGATATCGATTCTTAAATCTCAAAAATCGATTAGTCATCCTGTTTCATTTGAACGAATGGATCATTGTATCCCGGCTACGCGCATCCAAAAAATCGCAATAATCTTTGTCCTTTGTTACTATTAATATGAAATAAAGTCTCAATTTTCAAATTACGTCCATTTTCTTTAGAATTTCAAAAACATAAATAAGGTTTTGGCGCTGTGGCGTGAGATCGCTCTGGCGCAGCTCAAGAGAAGCAGCAGCGCTGATCTCTTTTCCGACTTAATAATACCAGTCACAGCGTGAAATAAACATGAATGAGCATCTGAAAGTGTGTTAAAAGATAGAGTACAACTTATCGAAATTCGTATCATGTCACATTGATTCGCTCAATATGCGTTTCAACTCTGGAAAAACGTCAGTTAAACAGCTTGTAATCAATGTCATGTATCGTCATATTTGCCTCAGATAACCCACATAAACTCGTTAGTCAGATAGAAAAAAATAACCCCAGAGCGGAGCATTTTGCTAAATATATACACCATATTACATATGCATTATAATCTTAATGTTCTTCAATATTTAATGCATACTTGAATAAATCTGGCAAGTTTTTTATGACAGCCACCATTTAAATGTTTATATTTCTTATAATCTTCTTATTATAAAAATAAATAAAAGTGTAATTTAAGTGTTTGTATAGCTACAAAACAGTTCATTATTACCTTCATATTAGGCTAATGAAGCATAATAGGCTACAACTAGACTCCCATAGTTTACAGCATTAAGAGATTTGATTCCCTTTAGAAAAATGGCCATTTATTGTAACTGATATATCCAAAATAATCAATATTGAATCGAATCGGAATCGAAAAATCGAATCGAATTGCAAGCTTGTGAATCGAAATCGAATCGAATTGTGAAATTTGTGTCAATACCCATCCCTAATGACCGGAGTAGCAAGGCGAGGTGAGTGACTGCTGTTCCATTCCCAGAATAACCAAACTTTCGTCCTCCTGTCCTCAGAGTTTGTGTTTGTTGAGTCAAACTTGCCAAGTCCGAACTACCAAAGACGCAAGTTCGAACTTGTACATGGAATTTATAAACGCTTAATTTCTGTAGTGTGAACAAAACATCCTGTCAAAAAGCATTATAAATGGCTCCTACCAGTGTTTGCTGTTAACTAAAACTATTAAAATTATTTTAACTTATTAAAATTGTTTTGTTAATTGAAATAAAGCTGAAATATATCAATCTTAGATGAAAATTAAAAATGTTGCCTGGCAACTAACGGAAATCAAATAAGAAGTACTAATATTACTAAAATCTAGTACTGAAATAAAAATAAACTAAATTTAAATAATTATTTTAGTAGTTTAAAGCTTTATTAATCTCCATGGTGCAATTAATTTAAACTGTTATAGTGCCTCACATATAACACTTAACACATATATTCAAATACTCAAAACTACACACAATACATAAAAAAAACAAGTGAAAGAGAAAAAAAGAGGATAAAATAATAATAAAAATGACAATCAACTACATTTAGTACATAAATGAATTGCTTCAGGCACAAAAATAAATGTATTGCAATTTGTAGAACATCTGATTGTCCTTGTCGGCCCAGGGGCATCCACTCCGAGTCCGAGTGCAACTGTGTGTGTGTGCTGTCTCCTATTACTTTGTGAGCCATCCTCAACATTTGCTGGTCATAATAAGATGTAAGACATCTTAAGGAACACCCATAATTTTAGAGCACATGTTAACAATACCCTGCAAACGTTTTTTTTGTGCTTTTGTGCGGTGATGAAAACCAACAAATGAATTGTAAAATAACCTGAGAACAACTCTCTGTAATTGGAAAGAATTAAACTTCCTCAGCACAAACACTCTTTGGTGTGAGTTTTTATTAATTGCATCAGAATTTTGGTCGAACTTTAACCTGTAATCAAAAACATTAATGACCACAGGTTGAAGTGCCGGTGTTATCCTACTAAAATGAATGATATCTCTTTAGTTTTTGACACATTTAGATCTAGTTTCATACTACTACACCAAGAAATAAAATGTACAAAACCGAACCATGTTCCTGATCTGAATGTGAAAGCAAAGAAAGCAACACAGTGTCATCTGCATATCTTGTGAACTCTGACTATCATTTGTATCCGATAAAATCCCATTAACCCTAACCCTCTGTTGCTTATTTGTTAAAAAAAGGGTAAAAAAAAAAATGACAAAATCAAAAAATTACAAAAACATAAGCTACAGTATTATTTAAAATGAAATGTGTAAATATAAAAATAAAAGCCAATTCAAAATATAAATTAATACTATAAAAGTATATAAATAATCCTAAAATTATTTATCATTTTGGTTCCCAACGTCATGGAAAACTTGGAAATATGAGAATTTTAATTTCTAAGAAAGTTAAAATCTTTAGAAGTCATGGAAATTAAATAGAAACGTTATATGTAATGTAAATGTTATATCTAAATGTTGTTCAAATTATGTTTGACTTGTGAATAATATTTTTTGTTCATACCTTGTTCAAAGTAAAGTATTATTTGTTTGTAAAATTTTGAAGAAATCTAGGCTGTTGGACTGAAGATTTTATGTAGTAATCTTAGGATAAAACATATTTTAATTTAAATATTATTTGTGTTTTTTCTTTCTTATCATCTAGATGTTTTGTTGAAGTATAGAAATATGGGTTGTACTCTTACTCTGTTATTTACAGAAAATAAATCTCCATTGGTCTATAAGATTCTGGAAATTGTCTCATGTCTGTCCAATATTTGTGGTGTTGGCAAATATGTGGTGAATGTGCTGTTGAAAAGAAGGGCCAGACCAAAGGGGACAAAACATATCAGATTTCAAACCCTGAGGACTACACTGTAATTTTGGAAAGGCTCTGTCAGTCATATTATTTCATAACATACAAGCTGATCGCACAAATTCCCTTTGTTTTAAAGGACTTTAATATGCTTTCAAGATGTTTGCATCTTGCATTATTTTTGCCCTCGATTTACGTTAACATTTCTCTCTCTTTTTTAGATTGTTACGGTCACGCTGTGTCAGTCAAGGAATGGTTCGTCTTCCCAGGAAATCCACTTCAGGAGCCTACCAGAGTCACTCCAAAACCCCTCAACTATACAAGTACATAATTCAGTAGTTTCACATATGTTTCACATATACACTTGTTGTATAATGAATTACCTCACATTAAATGTACATATAATGAATTACCTTACACAGCCCGGTTTCACGGACAGGGCTTAGATTAAGCCAGTATTCAGCCTTTGTTTAAGTTGTTTTTATAAAAATGTGAAGAAAAAAAAAATACCTTACAAAAAGACATTACTGATGTGTATCTCGAGACAAAGCAATGGAACTGACATATTTTAAAGGGTTAGTTCACCCCAAAATGAAAATTCTGTCAGTATTTACTCTCCCTCATGTTGTTCCAACCCCGTAAGACCTTCGTTCATCTTTGGAACACAAATTAAGATATTTAAGATATTAAGATCACTCCTGCATACAGTCCATAGGCTTCTTGAGGGAATGACTTGCTGTCCTCGAAAAGTCATTAAAGACATCGTTAAAATAGTCCAAGTGACTACAGGGGCTCAATCTTAAGTTTATCAAATGACGAGAACACTTTTGTGCGCAAAAACAACAAAAATAACGACTTTATTTCAACTATTCGTTTATTTCTCCCTCTGCCTTCAGTCAGGTTACTAGTTTAATAGCGTAAGCTTCTGTTATTGTGCGTCACACGCATCACACACATGACCAGCGTCGGCCAATAGTGAGCCTACGTGTGACGTAGCTCTATGCCATCACACTACGTTAACTGACTACAGGCCCATAGAGAAGGAAGTGAATAGTTGAAATAAAGTCATTATTTTTGTTTGTGTTTGCACACAAAAAGTATTCTCGTCGTTTGATAAAGTTAAAATTGAGCCCCTGTAGTCACTTGGACTATTTTAACGATGTCTTAATTTGTGTTCCGAAGATGAACGAAGGTCTTACAGGGTTGGAACAACATGAGGGTGAGTAAATACTGACATAATTTTCATTTTTGGGTGAACTATCCCTTTAAGATTTGTCAGTTGCTTTTACTTAATGCCTGCATGTTCAGATCGACATCACGAAAAAAAGATTTGCATGATTAAAAAAAATATCAGTCCTCCACAGCGGGATCCGTTGTGAGTGTGTGCGAGTGAGTGAGTGAGTGAGTGAGTGTGCAAGTGAGTGTGCATGTGTGTGTAAGTGAGTGAGTGTTAGTGAGTAAGTTTGTGTGAGTGAGTTTGTGCGAGCGAGTGAGCATTAGTGAGTGTGCGCGTGAGTGAGTGATCGTTAGTGAGTGAGTGAGTGTGCGCGCGAGTGAGTCAGTGAGTGGGTGTGAGTGTGCGGGTGAGTGAGCGAGCGAGTGAGTGAGTGAGTTTGTGAGTGTGCATGTGAGAGTGAATGAGAGTGCGAGACGGCACACGATGACTGGTCGGAAAGCAACGTGTAGTCTGACATGTTTCTTGTCCGCGACAAGATTTTAGGAGTCAAAATCGCATAATCTGACACAGTGACTATCCTAACAGACAAAAAAAATGGTGGAATCTGATCCAGGCATAAAACAACTCAAACGTGCATTTTAGTTTGGGACTAGCTTAATCCATGTCTGTGAAACTGAGGGATAGAGTACCTCAAAGATCCTTGGACTTCGTCTCGCATGCTAATCATCACACACTACCTCGTCTGATGCTGCTATGAAATCCTGTGATAATCTCAAGAGATCTATGTTCTGTTGTTAGTGCACGATTGTCTTTGTTTGCCTGTTAGATTTTTCTCGTATCAGTGATTAAACGACACCGCAAAATGTGCTAAAAACCCAAAGATCATCTGGTTTGATGTTTGGTGTATTTCACACACTGCAAATTTCATCACTGCATTACATTTACCTGGGAATATTAGGGAATTTTGAAGCCTGCAGAAGACAGATACTGCGCCCGAATATGCCTACTTCCCTACTATATAGACCATTTCACAAGATGTAAACAACACTTTTCCAGAATCACTTCCTGTTTCAGTTTGTAACCGTTTTCTTTATTTCACATGTAAAGAAAACATCTTAAAGATGTTTGTTTAACTTTTTGATTCAGTTTTAAATGTTCTGTTGGTTGTATTTTATCCCAGCTTTTATGTAGTGTTAAAAAAACTGAAACAGGAAGTGCTTCTGGACCAGTGTTGTTTACATCTTGTGAAATGGTCTATACAGTGGGTACGGAAAGTGTTCAGACCCCCTTAAATTGTTCACTCTTTGTTGTATTGCACCCATTTGCTAAAATCATTTGTTATTTTTTTCCCTCATTATTGTACACACAGCACCCCATATTGACAGAAAAACACAGAACTGTTGACATTTTTGCACATTTTTTATTGAAAAAGAAAAACTGAAATATCACATGGTCCTAAGTATTCAGACCCTTTGCTATGACACTCAATTATTTAACTCAGGTGCTGTCTATTTCTTCTGATCATCCTTGAGATGGTTCTACACCTTCATTTGAATCCATTTGTGTTTGATTATACTGATTGGACTTGATTTGGAAAGCCACACACCTGTCTATATAAGACCTTACAGCTCACAGTGCATGTGAGAGCAAATGAGAATCATGAGGTCAAAGGAACTGCCTGAAGAGCTCAGAGACAGAATTGTGGCAAGGCACAGATCTGCCCAAGGTTACAAAAAAAACAAAAAAAAAACTTAAATTATTTCAGCAAATGGATGCAAAATAACAAAGATTGAAAAATTTAAGGGGGTCTGAATACTTTCCGTACCCACTGTAGTATGCGAAAAACAATATGTGGGCTGAGTAGCATGTCCAAACAGGAGATAAGTACAAGGAAGACCTACTTCTTCCGGCGTAAGTGTGCTTACGATGGACACTTTGCTATCCCCGAAGGGCCACAGGAGTGAAGCTGCAAATTGATGCCGTAGTTCACATGACTTTGACAACATGGCAAATTTAGTACGTCCAAATTTAATTCATAATACACACATTGGGTCTCATTCATGAAACATTCGTAAATATACGAGTAAATATGAGAGTGATTCGCGCGTAAAGAGACCTTCCCGAAAACTCGATTCCTGATTCACAAATACTTCGTAAACGTCAGATGTGATATAGTGAAATGCGTGTGTGTGTGTTAATGAATTCAAACCAGTCGTAAATGGGATGCGCGTGCACATTCATTCTCAATTACCATAAATCCCGCCCATTATATCGAACTGACATCTATACTGTATATAGGCATATAATAACATGAATACGAATGAAAAAGAAAGATTTCTCGGATGCAGAAATTGAAGTTTTATTATCAGAAGTTCATTCAAAACGCCACATTTTATTTTCAAGCGTACATAGTGGCGTATAAGGTCCTAAAAAATGAAGCTTGGCAGCATGGAGTTTCATCTGTCAATCGAACAGTCCCAGAAGAGAAGAAAATGGTTCAACAGCAAAAAAAACAAAAAAAAAACAACGAATTAATTCACTTCGGAAAAATCGTATTCAATTCAAACTGGAGAAGGACCGCCATCGATCACCAAATCTGCTATTAGGCTCTCATAGTAAAAGTAAAAAGAAAAAAAAAACGTATGTAATTACTATATAAAATATTTTTTTCAAAATGCTGTTTAAATATGTACCCGATTAAGGTGAATTAAAATGCAGCCTTATTAAAGGTTCTCTGAGCGATCCTGGGTGTTGTTGACGTTCGGAATATTTTCAAACAAATCGGAGGCTAGCTAGACCCTCCCTCCGCCGCATCTCATCTCCTCCCCTTCCCTTCCGTGCTTCCTGAAATAATTGTGAACGTGCATAGTTCTAGCTAATTATATCCTTGTGTGGGTTTGGCGAACATAAAGCGTCAATTTAGAAGAAAAAAACCAATTTAACGTTACCCACCTGTCCAGCAAAAACAGAGCAACCTGAATGTCGGACTGGAAGCCCTTCTGCCGCCGGAGTTCTCGCCATCGTTCAAAAGCTTTGCTACCGATGTAAATTCGGAACTTCGCACGTTCTTTATCCGACTCCTTTTTTTTTAATTTGTTCTTCAGAACGACGTCTATTTGGTCGTGTGTCGGCCATTTTTCAAACTTCCCTCTGATGCTTCTATCTCCTTCACACACACACCCCCTTCATGTGCACGCGCACTAACCCCCCAGACCCACCCTCAAATACTTCTTGCCAGTGATTGGCTGGAACACTGTTTGTTAGGTTTCGTGGTCCGGGTGAGACATGATTGTTTTTGTTGCCGTTTGTGGAGCCTGTGGTGTCTACAGAGAGACCGCGTTTTTTTACAGTGTGTTTAGGGGACGGGCAGCTAGCCGATAGTGAGGAGACGTTTGATGTATGTGACAAAAAATGTTTTGGCCCCACATCGCTTAGAGAACCTTTAATGAGCAAAACGTTTGGATGTTAAGCGCACCATTTACGCGTGGCTGGGAGCAGGTGTAGATTTCTTGTGTGCCAACTAACATTTGGAAAATACGAACATTTTAATGAATCCGAAAATTTACGCCAGAAGCCCTTTACACATGATTTACACAAAAATTCGTTCTGCTCGTGTTTCATGAATGAGACCCATTGAACCAATTGTAGTACCTACTATATAGTATGCCATCTTGGATGCAGCAAAACGTTTCTATTTATGCTCAGGTAATATCCATTAGCTAGATTTGTGAGTGCAATCATTTGAAAAAATCATAGCCAAAATAAATGGAAACCCTTGTATTAGAACTGTTATTCAATCATTAATTTACTGTCTACACGCCAACCCCCACAAGTTAAATTTGTGGTCAATTTGTGATCAACAGAAGGGCCCCCTGATCTGATGGCCCTGTGGTTTAGGACAGACCCAGACGTGAAAACAATCCAAGCATCGACACTCCTGGATGTCTTTGACCTGTATGAGTTTACTGAAGAGCTGAAGCAGTTTGACAGCCCTGTGATTGCTGTGATTTGTCTTGTAACCTACATTGCCATTCAGGTGTGTTGAACTTTTCATCGTTGATGCCATGGACCACTGAGGTTTTCGCTTGAATGTAAACAAATGGCTTTGTTTGGGTTCATTCGCACCACGTACGCTCCCTGTTAGCCTTTATTTATTAATGATGTGAACTCATTGCATGTCAAAAGAGTTCACCGGTGGCGGTCGCTTCAACACTGTTTATTGTGTGTAGCCCTTATCAGACAACTGCAATACCCTTGCATTGTGTATAAATGTGTGTGTGTTGACGCTTGATGCTTGTTGTGTATACTTGAATAAAACCACTGTTTGCTCTTGGATCTAGACGAGACAGCTTTCTCTGGAAGACGTAGATGCATATCTAAGCCAAGCTGTTTGTGTCAGATTCAAGTCCTTCACAGAAATGCAACAGCTCAGGGTGAGTCATTTGAGCCACCTCTGCTTTTCTAAAAACATTGTTTTTACACTCACATGCTCACCCATTATAACTGGGCTTGGTTTGGAGTCTTTTACCAAACAACTGTGGTCATGCTTTTGAAACATAGTATTTGGTGCACATTTGGTGCGATTGCTTGGTCCAAACCTTTTCTGTGCTCCCGTAAGTGAGGCAGTCACAGTTGTTCAGCAACTTTTCTGTGTTGAAATCCAGTCATTTTAATAGAAATCACAATAATCTGTCATTTTGTTGATGGCAAAAGGTTTAGATTCCTTATATATATATATATATATTCCTTAGATTTCGTTACAGGATTCGCCACTTCGACTGACAAAACGCTGCTTGTTTGAAAGGGTTTTTTTTATTGCCCAGTTTACACCTGGTATTCAGATGCACAAGTGGACGAGGGAGATCTCTTTTGTCCACTTTCAACCACTTCTATCCTGATCACTTCGAGGGCATGGTCTATGGGTGGATAAATGTATGGGATTTTTCGGATCTTTCGATCTACTGGAGAAAATAAGCTCAAGCGATTTTATATGGAGACAGAGACAATTTATATAGAGACATGCCACTTCCTCAATCCTCAATACAACTATGTTGGGAAAACCCGTAACGCCAAAGATGGCGGTTGAATGCACATGCCCCGCCCCTCTTGCTGGAAAGCCAACCGTCTGCTTGTAACAATAAACAAAAATAAAGCCGGTAAACATGTCTGGTTCCTCTGACGTATGAGGTTTGCGACAGCGGAGACGAGAACCCTTGCGCCTGCCTAGTAAACGTATAACCTGTGGGAAAAAGACCTTTTAAACCTTATTTTGGGGCAAAGTCATCAAACTTTTTTAGCCGTTTTTATCATATTTTACTGCTGTTTCTATACAAGCAGTTTTTATGTCTCGGTGACCAGTGTAAGTGCGGTTCTGACTCTCTGCCCATTCATTTAGATAGGAGCCTGGTCTTGTTAGTCCGAAATGGCTGCCCGGAGGCGGTCCCAAAAAAACATTGAGCTTGTTCGAATAAAGAAAGTGAGGTTCGAACAACATGAGGGTGAGTAAATGATGACAGAATATTATTTTATTTTTTTTGGGTGAACTCTTCAATATTGGATCATTAAGCAATGTGAACTTTCAAGTATGGATATTTCGGCTGCGGAAAATTATTGGCCGTGAAAGGCATTTTCAGCTTTTGTTCTAAAGAAAATAAACCGCCTAAATATACACACAAAATGATCAAAATGTCCGTTTCTGCAAGTATTCTTGTTAAAGGGTTAAAGGGTTAGTTCACCCAAAAATGAAAATGAAGTCATTAATTACTTACCCCCATTCTGTACCAACCCCGTAAGACCTTCGTTCGTCTTCGGAACACAAATGAAGATATTTTTGATTAAATTTAAGAGCTGGATCACTGCTACATAGGCTCCCTAAGGGATTGAAACTTGACGGCCCAGAAAGTCAATGAAGAAAATGTTTAAATATTCCATGTGACAACAGTGGCTCAACTATAAGTTGATCAAGCGACGAGAATACTTTTTGTGCGAAAAAACAAACAAAAATAACGACTTCCTTCCCGGGCCTGAGACGAGAGTTCAAGAGATTTTCACGACATACGCGCGAGAACTGAACTGAAGTAGTTGAAGGAGATCGCAATTCTTGCGCATGCGTCGCGGAAATCTCTTGAACTCTCGTCTGAGGCCTACAAGGAAGAAAAGGAATAGTCGAATAAAGTCGTTATTTTTGTTTGTTTTTCCGCACAAAAAGTATTCTCGTCGCTTAAACAACTTACCCTTTAAGTATTAAGTGAACGTAAAGAGTTATCCCTTTTTGTAAAGAAATCAGATGTGTATCATTATATTGGATCCGTGCATTCGGTCTTAAAGTGACAGCAACCTAAGTCGTTAATAGTAATCAAACAACAAAACGCAGCTTTAACAAATAATAATCTATGTTTAATTTGTACAGTGAACACTAGTTTCATTTTACATTAAGGCCTAACTTTTAAATCTCTACACCTGAATACTCTACTTCAATAGACCCTACTTTATTTGTAACTTTGTTATACTCTATTTATCAATGCTTGTAATAGTGTATTTGATCTCACCCCCAAAATGTTCACACATACAAGCTCATTTTAAATGAGAAATAAATCATTTTTCAAAAGCATTTTCAGTTTCGGTTTTTGGTCAAAAGCATCCAGAATATTTGGTTTCGGCCCATTATTTTCCTAATTTCACGTGTTGCTGATCACTTTAGTTATGACTTAAACATGCTAACAAACTCTGTTTCTCCATGTCAAAATGGCACAGCAACATGAAGTTGCAACAAATCATGGCTTTTCTTAAAGGACATATCAGATTCTTTTGCTATTTGGAAAAAAAGAAAATGGGGAAAGAGACTGGAGGGATAATTTCTGGTTGCTTTGCGACATTCCTCCCAAAAACTACTCTAATTGTGGTCTGAACCTGAGAGTGATGCTCTGGTGACGGGCTCCGCGTCGTCCCCGCCGGCGACCACAGGGCTATTTCAGCTCCCACCCTAATTTAAGCCTCCTATCCGTGCTATTTCAGACACGGCCAAGGGCGGCCTGTGGTTTCGCAGTGCTTGGATTGAGAGCCCTCCCCACAGCGCAGATAATGGATGATAGAGGGCCAAATTAGAGCCTCTTGGGAGATATCCAAGAAGCCACCTCCTAATTTACGGATCCTCCTGTGTCTACGGCTGTCCTTTTTCATCTGGTGTGAATCCCTCCAGTCTGTTGTATTCAGATGCTGATGCATATATCACCCTTGACTCAAAAAAAAAGCTGTTGACAATACAAATGAACTGTTAAGTTGTATTTATATTTTAAATACAATGAAAAAAATCTGTATTTTTACAGATCCTATGCTTAATTATGTTTGCTAATGTAAAGAATTTCAATCACACCTGTAGACAATATCTTTTATTGCCCGTAGCGGTTGTTTATTGTGAACTTGGCTGCAGTATTTATTTGTATATGGTCCCGCTTGTTTGTGTTTTGGCTCAAGTGAAGTGATATGGCTCGGTTTATGTTGCCCACAATACGCTAGGTGATGAATGATAGCGTTGAGGGATTGTGTGTTTAGAAGGCGTGCACGGCAACAGGTGTTGGATTGCTGGCTGACCCAGAGATGCGTGTGTGTTCAAGGCACAGTGGCGACAGCCTGCCGCTGGCCAGATGAAAGTGTGTAAAGCTCTTCTGCCATGGGGTGGTGGGAGCACCTGTTACATGCACCATTGTTGTCTCCCATTGGGAGTTACACCGTCACATCTGCCTGAAATGTGAAAAGGGCTGGGGGAGTTGGGGGGGAGGGGGGTACTAGGAGGCAGAAGAGCCAGACAGATGGCAAGAGAGTCTCCAGGGGCATCCTGATTACCCCCGTCTAATCAGTTTCCCCCTGTGCTGCTTTGTCGTAGTAAGGGAATGTAAATGCAAGCTAAGGATGCCACTACATTGCATCTGTTATTGATGAGAATTATAAGGAATTTAGCAAAAGTTATTATTAATGATTCAGATTCAAACATTTGAGTACTTTTGAGGAGCAATATATATAGTTTGAAACAAATGAATACTTTTATTCAGCAAGGAAGCATTAAATTTTGAATTAAATAAATGCTACTGTTTTGAACTTTCTGTTCATCAAAGAATCCTGAAAAAGTGTATCTCAGCTTCCACAAAATGCTTAAGCTGCGCAACTGTTTTCATTGTTTCATTGATGATATTGAGAAATTTTTCTTGAGCAGCAAATCAGCATATTAGAATGATTTCTGAAGGATGATGTGACACTGAAGACTGGAGTAATGATATTCAAATTAAAACGTTATTTTAAATTTTAATACTATTTCACAAAATGTATGACCATAGAAGGAAAAACAATATCATTTTAACCCTCAATCAGGTCAATCGACTGTTACTTAATAAAAAAAAGGTTCCCTTCGTCTCAGTGGAATAAGATTTTGTGACTTTTCATACATTATCTATCTATACACACAAACACACACAAAAACTGGGCTTGATTCAGTTGCTCTGAAGGTATGTAAAAAAAAGTTTACACTTCTGGTCTTCGGGGTCAATATGACCCCACATTAAAAATGAATGGGAAATGTGAAAAAACGAAATATATTTTCTTAATGTGTCAAAAAAAAAATTTATAATTTCCGCCATAAATCTGAAAATTTTGACTCAGAAATGAAGGCCAAGTACTAGAGAATAAATGCAATGTATCGTAAAAAAAATTATACTTCACATGCAAGCTAATGGTGTAGTTGAGGAATTGTGTGGTATATGGATACAACTTTATATCTCCAAAAACACAGAATTGATGAATAGATGAGAAGTAAACAAAAAAAAAAAATGATATATTATTTGTATGATTAAAATTGTATATTTTTTGTACAATTACTCAATCAATTGTTGGGGTCGTATAGACCCCGAAGCCCAGAAGTGTAAACAGACTTTTTAAGACTTTTTGATCAGTTTAACTGTTTAAAGAACCAGTTAAGAAACACTTGAGGCAAGTCGTTTTCATGGCGTCCGGTTCCACACACAACAAACACAGTAGTAGTTCAACTCGTGAACAAATGACTCTTAAGAGTCACATCTTTTAAAGAAGTCAAAAAGATGCGGTTCAGAAACAATTCCTTGTGATTAAAAAAACAACTAATTGTGAGGTGATCTGAATTTGGTGCATTGGTGGATGAATGCAGTCATTAATAGAACCAAACCTCCAATATTTTTCTCTCTTTTAAAAAAAACAAAAAAAAAAACAGAGCCAGTTCTTAACTCTCAACCCTTTAACCAAACAAGCCTGGTTTTACAGCCCACCATGTTTATTTAGTAAATCTAAAATCGAAAGTTCATTCAAATATCACACGAGATTCAGACAAGCCTTGTCTTGTCATGCATTCATGTTTACAGTCGTAACATTGAGCAGATGTGCATTAAGGTATGGCACAGGTGCGGAGCCTGACACAAGGCTGTAGTTTGCCATTAGTGTTGATCTGCGTGTCCTCAGGGGGTCCAGCGGTCCTTCGGGCATCTGGAGCAGCTCTCATTGTTCACTGCTGAAATGCTTGCAGAGCAGCTGCTGTTCTGGTTTGTTGTCCCTCTCTATACCTTTACAGCAGCAGGGTGGCATCAGCTTTGTCCCGGGGCCTATTGACTTCCACGCTGAGCAATTAGTGGCTTTAAAGGTGCTAAGACTTTTACGTGTCTTTTTAAGCGGTTTAATCAAAGCCGCTCTACTTCTTCATCCCACTCTCTAAACCTTATGCATAACAGTCAATGTGATTAAATGCTCTCATTTCACTGAAGAGGCATGGTTTCAAAGAGGAAGTCAGGCCAGAGCAAACAGCGTAATATTTCAAACGACGGCCTGGCTCTCAATCTGTGCGCCTGGAAGGCTTGGGCAGTGGGTTGCTGCTGTCACTTCGGCTTTATCTCCAGGCTCCCCTTTGTTTGCTTTAGTCTAAGCTGTGTTTGAGAGCGGAGCAGGTGGCAAGCCAATTTCACATTTTCATGTCACGAAAGCTAATCAGCCCCTCTCTTATCTCCTGTGGGTGGGGGACCAGGTGACCAGCGGACAGTCTGGTGGGGTTGGGGGGGGGGGGTCCCTTTGTAAACATCCCCTTATCCACAAGGCCACTTCAGGTGAGCTCTACGGGTCACACCCTGCCTCCCTCCGGTTGAAACGCACAATAGGTAATAAAAGCATGATGAATTGGAAACCAAGTTACTGTAAAAGTGCTGTCATTTAAAGGAACAGTTCAACTAAAAATAATCTTTCACTTGCATTGTTTCCAACTTGTATGACTTGAAGTTTTGCATAATGTTCCAGGTGCTCTTTTCCACACAACCTCAGCAATGGCTAGTAATGCACACTTTTGGGAGGAAATCGAATTGCAATAAAAAAAAAAAAAAAACTTTTACTGTGTTTGCTGTGCTTGTTTGTAGGGCTGTGCAGTTAGGCTAAAATGTGAGTAGATATCAGTATGACATGTCCTAACTACACACGACGACACGCAATAAAAGGTATCTTTTCCATGTTAATCAGAGTTTTTGTCCTAACCAGACGCGACGGCGACACGCAAAGTTTCTAATTTACAACGGTTCCTATTTCTGCCATGTCGCGGCTGACAGAATGAAGAAATTACACTGGTTATGAGTACGCATTATTTATTTTTAGTTAAAAATAGGTCACTGTGCCACAAGATAACGGATAATTTACCTCAGATTTTAAAAGCATATAATATAGCTTTCAAAATGAATTCTATGCAAACATACAACTGTACTTCATAACAAAATGAGTTTATTTTGTTAATGTTTTGATTTTTAATAATGTTATTTCTTGATTTGATTAATGCGAGTGCGGGCCAGCAGTGCGCTTTCACGCTGCTCTGAATGATTGTGATTTTTGATCACAATGTGTGGCGTCTCACAGTCGCGTCGCGTCTAGTGTGGACAGACACACCTGCAGTCGCTGGAATTTTATCGCATCGCGTGTAGTTAGGACACGGTGTGACTATTAAATAATAGTAATAATAAAGTATAAAACAGTAAAATTCCAATACTAAAATTTCTGTCTGCCTTAAAAACGTTAAACCATCAAACTTTTATTTTGACAGAAAACCTCGAGGAGCTTTTTAAGCTTCTGTTCTGTTAATAATCGTTTCTCATTGCAAGTATAGGAAGATGGTTGGCGCATGTTGCTTTCCCAAATGCATATAAGTGTCCCATACTCAAAGCAGAGATGGAGTTTGTATGGAGGAGCATTTTCTGCAAAAAGCAGTGGATCGTTAGCTGTTTATGATCCGGGCTTCGCTCTGAAACACTCAGCACATGCATTTAATTTAATTGTAGCATTTGCTTTTTAAGTCTCATTGCTGTTCCAGTTTTATTTTTATTAATCCAGCAATAGTGTAGCGATGCTTGAAGCACAGCTCACTCAGAAGTCACTAAACTTCCACACTTAGGCCATGTTTACATGACAACGATAAACTAAAAACGGAAAAGTTTTTTCTTTGTACAGATGACAATGTTATCAAAACGATCTCCGTTCACAATCCGCGAAAGTGACTAATAATAACACTATTATGCATGACAGACAAGTAGTTGGCGATGTCACTTAGTAATGAAAGACTACACGCCTGCACATTATTTTACTAAGGTGCACTCGAGCCTATAGCTAGGTATGTGGACATATCAATAAATAGCGGCCGCCATTGTGTTCCAAATCTCTGTGCCGGATTTTCCCAAATCTGAGCAGGTCTCCTAAAATGCGCTGTTTTCATTGACTCGCTGTGGGAATCCTTGATTATTTTTAGCCAATCACATCAGTAGGGTTTTCGACTGCACATTTGTTTTAAATTTTTTCTAGTCAGGCTGCATTTTCCTCCTGAAAGGCGATTTCAAACAATACGGAATAATTCAACTGTCAAGAAATTATGTTTACCCACTTTGGACAAAATTTCATGGCCATTTAAACTCCCCCACTTTTTTCATGACTACCGCCACTGAACGTTACCTGTAGAAGAGCTTTCAAAATGCAGTGCGTCGTGTAGGCTACACTCAACGTTTGTGTGGTCTCCTCCACTTTCTTTCCTCCACCAGCATTAGTATTGTTAGCTCTATATTCTCACACAACTAGAAATAGCATGAATCAACCAAAATCCATCTTTTAAATTAAGGATATATAATTTTGCTTGGATCGTTGTTTTCCATTCAATTATTTGTATTTTCAACAACTGCTCGTCAGAAAAATACCATAAAAGATAGGCCAAATCATTCTTATTGTGTGTTAAAATCAAGTTTTGACACATTAGATCCAAGTAACTATATGAAACCCATCTCCACAGAAAATTTAATTAAGATTTCTTGAATATTGAGAAAGTTATGAACATTTTTGTGAAAAAGCAACTTGTTTTCATTCACACTAAATTCTATTGTTTTCACCTTAGAAATGAGACAATAATAGGCGCTGATTACTGAACTATAAAATGTTGTAACTTTCTTCATACTTGACATATTTACCTTTTTTTTTTTGTAAAGGGGGTACCCAGTACTTTCCACATATTCTATCCATTTGTCTATTTGTTGAGTTTCAATTTTTTGTCCACATACCCACTATAGACAAATTTCATAATCTTTCATTTTGTTGTGCGAATTTCATTCTAAGAATATTAATCTTGATAATACTGTATTATTACTATTTCTTCTGGGTAAATTTCAAATGTACAAAGTCAGAAACATTCACTGTAATCACATTTTTATAATGTTCTCCTCTGATAGAGTGAATTCATTCATTCATTCATTCATTCATTCATATAAAGTGCCTTTTTACTTCATTTAAGAAAATGTCAAAACCTTTGAACACAAAAGGCACAAGAGTCTGTTCTTTAATTTTTCATTATGACAAAATGTTATATTATGTTGGTTTTTGTAATTCTTATAACCACTTGCAAAGATGTCCGTATGCCCCCCCCCCCCCTTATTTCTTACTTTTAATATCTGTATCCTTTCATTTGCAACACAAAACCTTCTGTTTTTAGTTGAAAATGGTGTTGTGTAAATAGTCAACACCATAGACTGTAAAAAAGATGGACGACGTGTCTCCACTTCCTTCCACTGTAGAATAATGAAGCCAAAGCGTCCCAGGAATTGCCGTTGTCATCTTGCTCCGATTACGTCATTCGGATCCCGAGTCTGTGCTCCGCCAAAACTCAAGCACAGCAAAAATTAGGCACCCATTTTTATAGCATCAAATAAGTAACTAAAATTAGCATTGATACCTAAATTGACAGAAACCATCAAAATGATTTATGATAGGATTTTTTAGTTTGGCTTACGTCCCATGGGATTACATGAAGAGGCGGGGTTTATGAGCAATACTGCAGCCAGCCACCATGGGGCGATCAAAATGTTTTGTCACTTTTTAGGACGTGTTCGGCACACGGCAACACGGCAAATGTGCTTGACCAACTTCTACGTCATCAAAATCTATGTTGGGAAATATTTTGCCCTCACCAAAAACTCTCGTGCAGATTGATTGTATTGAAATGACTGGGTTTTGTTTGTGTAATTTCGCAGAGCAACAGTAAATGTGACCACTCCTTTGTGAACTATTGTGTTTTTGTACTTAATTTCTTACACCATGCTATAATCCCTCCCCCATGCAGACCTCTGTTGTAGACCCTAGGGCCGTCCAGCTCGGGTCTCTCTTTGTGCGCGGTCTGACCTACCTCATCGCAGCCAACAGTGCATGTGGTTACCCTTTCCCAATGGGTGAGCTCATGCCGTGGAAGACCTTTGACGGCCTGCTCTTCCATTCGAAATATCTGCAAGCCCACTCAGGCAGTCCAAAAGAAGAGCTTCTCGAAGGCAATGTAAGTACAGGAAAATGCCATTGGTCCTGTTTACACTTGGTATTAACATCCGGTCAGTTGAGACAGATACTTGCATTTCAATCTCACCACAAACATGACATTTCAAAGCCACACAGAATCCTTGTTTTAGCAAAATGGTTGATTGACAGGTGAGTGGGCGGCCTTTTACTGTTGTCTTGGATACATCTGAACGGATTGGTATTTGTGCTACAAATGGAGTGTGGTCGCATCTTCAAATGTGGTTTGATTGATCAAATCACAAAATGTTTTTAGCCCTGACAACTTATATCAAATGTAAACAGGACCTAGCATAATCCTTTTTTTTAACGTTGTCATTCTGGAATATGCAGCTCTACCGAGGCCTATTAACATGCTAAAAATCATTTCTTTGTATGGCCCACACATATTTTGTTTAACTTTTGTTTACATGTCTTTGGTTTACTGCAAAACAGTTACAGAATCTCTTTTGTTTTTGATTTCTGCAATGTTTTTTCCGGAGCCAAGGGACCAAAACGTCCAAATAATTGTTTGACCCACACATGTAAACATGGGTTTGTAATTATAAATGCAGTCAGGAAATAACTCAGACTGTGCATGCTCACCTCTTGTCTTCATGGAGGTCTCTGGACAAACAGAGTGTGCATCTCGATCAATCGTGGACCAGTATATCATGTACACAAATTCAATCTCACTAAACATCGGGATACTGATGGTGACATGACAAGAGGTTCATTGTCTACGTCACTACTGATATTTATGAACAACAGCGGAACGGATACATCAGCTGTAATTTAATTCTAAATATATTATGTTAATTACCTGTCTAGCAATGTATCTTTATGCTAAAAGGTAATTACGGTAAATTAAATTCAACTTAGATTTCTTTTATTTTGAGTTGTATTGAGTTGGATCGCATGATTTGTTTCGTGCTTCAGAACTTCCAGGAACACAGTGAGCATTGTTGGTCCCAGGTTTTCACAGTGCATTTTGGGACTTTTTAGGTAGCAAACGTTTGGAAACATTTTGCAATTGAGACAGCCCTTAAAATGTCTGACTCCGTGATTACTACTGAACTAAGGCGTTGATTGAGACGCACCCTTTGACAGTACTTTAACACCTTGAATGTCTTGTATGTCTTAAAAAAACATCAAACATGACATTTGCAAACACATATTGAGGGACTTTTCTCAGAACTAACTTTTCTTTTTTTTAAACGAATGCCATTAGGTGTGAGACTCATACATTGTTCAAAATATGAGTGTTCAAATATCTATGGATTTGATCAATTATAGATACACATGTTGGATTGAGATTTTTTAGTTTATTGTGTATGCATTAAGCGTAAGCGATTTCTGATAAACGCTGTTGAAAGTTAAAATCAGCACATAATCAAACAATTTTGTGAATATTTGCTAAACGTCTGTTTTGTGTGTGCTGAAATATATATATATATATATATATATACACTCACCGGCCACTTTATTAGGTACACCTGTCCAACTGCTCGTTAACACTTAATTTCTAAGCAGCCAATCACATGGCGGCAACTCAGTGCATTTAGGCATGTAGACATGGTCAAGACAATCTCCTGCAGTTCAAACCGAGCATCAGTATGGGGAAGAAAGGTGATTTGAGTGACTTTGAACGTGGCATGATTGTTGGTGCCAGAAGGGCTGGTCTGAGTATTTCAGAAACTGCTAATCTACTGGGATTTTCACGCACAACCATCTCTAGGGTTTACAGAGAATGGTCCGAAAAAGAAAAAACATCCAGTGAGCGGCAGTTCTGTGGGCGGAAATGCCTTGTTGATGCCAGAGGTCAGAGGAGAATGGCCAGACTGGTTCGAGCTGATAGAAGGGCAACAGTGACTCAAATAACCACCCGTTACAACCAAGGTGGGCAGAAGAGCATCTCTGAGCGCACAGTACGTCGAACTTTGAGGCAGATGGGCTACAGCAGCAGAAGACCACACCGGGTGCCACTCCTTTCAGCTAAGAACAGGAAACTGAGGCTACAATTTGCACAAGCTCATCGAAATTGGACAATAGAAGATTGGAAAAACGTTGCCTGGTCTGATGAGTCTCGATTTCTGCTGCGACATTCGGATGGTAGGGTCAGAATTTGGCGTCTACAACATGAAAGCATGGATCCATCCTGCCTTGTATCAACGGTTCAGGCTGGTGGTGGTGGTGTCATGGTGTGGGGAATATTTTCTTGGCACTCTTTGGGCCCCTTGGTACCAATTGAGCATCGTTGCAACGCCACAGCCTACCTGAGTATTGTTGCTGACCATGTCCATCCCTTTATGACCACAATGTACCCAACTTCTGATGGCTACTTTCAGCAGGATAATGCGCCATGTCATAAAGCTGGAATCATCTGACTGGTTTCTTGAACATGACAATGAGTTCGCTGTACTCAAATGGCCTCCACAGTCACCAGATCTCAATCCAATAGAGCATCTTTGGGATGTGGTGGAACGGGAGATTCGCATCATGGATGTGCAGCCGACAAATCTGCGGCAACTGTGTGATGCCATCATGTCAATATGGACCAAACTCCCTGAGGAATGCTTCCAGCACCTTGTTGAATCTATGCCACGAAGAATTGAGGCAGTTCTGAAGGCAAAAGGGGGTCCAACCCGTTACTAGCATGGGGTACCTAATAAAGTGGCCGGTGAGTGTATATATATATATATATATATATTTGTACATAGTCCTGGCTGATTAAATAAAAGAAGAAAAACAAAGTGGATCAGACTGATCCATGGAGCACCAAAACACTCTTATAGCCAATCAGCAATAAGGGGCGTGTCCACTCATGATAGGGGAGGAGAAATAGTGAGCAAGATGGTGATTAGAAGACTAAATATAGATATTACCAAAGAGGAAAGGGTCAGAGGAAGTTTGGAAAAAGAAGGGTTATGATGAGGCAAGAGCTTTAGGACCCGAAAACAGTTGTTTCTGCTCGATATGCGAGTAACTTTGTTTAGTTTTTTTGCGTTTTCAAGGAAGATATGCTGTTGTTGTTGAATAACAGCTGATTCATCCATACTTGCTCATGCTGTCGACATACATACATGATTACCAGTGTTGCTTAGCATGTTTGTGTGTTTTTTGGGAGTCGAATTCAAATATCAACAGTGTTTCTCAGAAATCGCTTACTGCACCTTTAAATATCTTATTTGTGTATTGTCTTTTAGCCCTCCTGGATATCTTTGTTCCTGTCCGTCAGAGATCTGGTGCTGGGAGCCTGCAGGAGACGTGGCGCTCCCGTCCAAAGCCAACCACGCAGACTACAGTACAGAGATGGTGCGGATCACTCCACAATTCCTTATCACATACCTGATTACCTGATAGAAATTAATTTTCACACTAACTTTCTGGGAAAACATAGAATTGTACAAAATGGATTTAAATGGATTTTCAGAATTAAAATTTCCTGATAATTTACTCACCCTCACGTCATCCAAGATGTTCATGTCTTTCTATCTTCAGTCGAAAAGAAATTAAGGTTTTTGAGGAAAACATTCCAGGATTTTTCTCCATATAGTGGACTCCAACGTAGTTTCATTGCAGCTTCAAAGTTTCTACATGATCCCAGCTGTGGAATAAGGGTCTTATCTAGCTAAATTTATTTTCTAAAAAATAAATAAAATATATATACTTTTTAACTACAAGTGCTTGTCTTGCACTAGCACGGCGATGCGCCACACATTATGTTATCTTGTTGAAAGGTCAGGTGTGTTCCGGTTCAAAAAGCTAGGGTAGGTCGAAAAACTTTTTAACGGCATTTGACTTAGTCTTTGTACGGTTGCTTTGTTAACACTACGGACCCTATCATGCACCTGGCGCAAATGACTTTGTACACTGACGCATGTATCATTCGTATTTTGCACCCGCGCAAAGTGGGCTTTTCCCTCCACAGACGCACGTCAGTAAACTAGGAAATGAACTTGTGCTCCCTGGGCGGTTCAGCGCAAAAAGGAGGCGTGCTCTTAAAGTGTATTATGGATGACGCTCTTATTAGTTTGTTTCCCGTTACGCCCAAACCACACCTATGAATAATGAAGCTACTTCATACTAAAATTTAGTATGAAGTACCAAAATTTCATTATTTCAAATGTAGGCGCGTTGCGCGTGGCAAGCGCGCTCATAATTTTGAGACGCTGGCGTGACCACAACATTGCCCAACATCAAATGGCAAATGTATTGTAAGCGGAACGAAACTGAGCTCCTCGTTATTGTGTGGATGACGGACCGTTTATCAGTTTGGACCAATAGACCTTATTCAGAGCAGCCATGACAGGTATGAAAGTGAGGCTGTGAGGGATAGACTTACCGTGTTTCCAATGGCATCCGCTGTAAAAAGATGAATAAAGCGGCTAGATTACTTACAATTTTCCACAGCTTACATTGTCGGGAGTTTTTTGTCAACTGACATTTCTTGGAAAGATATTTTTCCAGTGTTTCATGAGCAGAACAATCCGAAAACACATTAAATAACAGTACAGCCCATTGAAGAGATGCAAGTATATCCCTCACAGCCTTGCTTTCATTCTCATTAAAAATCAAAGATGGCGCTGCCGTGAATAAGGCGTATGCCGCGCGAGCCAATCTTAATCAAGCAGCACTGTTACTACACAGCCAAATCCAGTAAAGAGAAAATTTGAATTCGCCACTGAAGTAATAACATCTGCGAGATCTAGTGAGCAACATTCACATTTCTCCGTTATTAATGGGTCAAACAGTGCTGATGTGGAAACTAGGAAGAAACATTGTGCCTGTCCAGTGTCCACAGATCAGCAACATTCACCATGGGTTTACTGTATAACACTACTAACTGTAACCATTGAAGTTTGGCAGGAATGGGCTATAATGCTTTCAGGTAACATTACTTCGGTTTTATTTTGACATTATTAATACAATTGCTGCCCTCAAATGTTAATCTGATCTAAAATAAACCTTAATATTACATTTCATTTTGTCTAAGGAGCTGTTTCGTTGTATATGCTCCTAAGAAAAGTCAAGTATAGCTCCATCATTGCTCAAAGTTAAAAAAAATAATATATCATACTTTATGATGTTGGTTTTAATAAAAATATTCTTGAAAAAATTTAATCAAGAACATTTCTCTGGTATTTATTTCTTTTTTTCGAACCGAACCATGCATTTTGTGAACCGTTACACCCCTATTTTATTTAGTTTTTTTTAATGACTGATCGTTTCACTAGACAAGACCCTTAATCATTGGCTGGGATCGTGTAAAGACTTTGAAACTGCAATTTGGACCTTCAAACCGTTGGTCTCCGTTGAAGTCCACTATATGGAGAAAAATCCTGGAATGTTTTCAAAAACCTTAATTTCTTTTCGACTGAAAAAAGAAAGACATGAACATCTTGGATGACGTGAAGGTGAGTAAATTATCAGGAAATTTTAATTTTGAAGTGAACTAATCCTTTAATATAGTAAATGTTGAAATGTATCTGAGAATACTCAGATTAGCCAGAATAATTTAATAATCCCTCCAGAGAAGGGTCGGTACATTTGTATTCGTATTTGAATGATGGACATTTAATTTCTCTGGGCATCTAATTTGTTTTAATTTTTTTATTTTTGTGGTAAACCCGATTGTGACTCAAACAAATGGAATACATGCGAAACATCCAGGTTACTTGCACATAAACAATAGCCAGCAGTCTTCATAAACCCCTCCATCTGGTCTGTGACAGTGAAAACAATCTGTTTGGCACACTATTTTAGATCGAGGGGATGCTTTGTCATAACAAGAATAATTCTGGGTTACTTTTTATAGGTAGCGATCTATATTAAGTAACATAACAAGACAACAAAATTATAACGTGGTGGCTGTTACAAACTCCTTGAGCCCCTTTTGCTTTTTACCACCATCCAGAGTTTTGTGGTTCTGTCCTAAGATTAAAAGAGACCTTATGGTGAAATTGTCTCCATCTGGTTTCCCTCTTGATGTCGACCAGCTCATGAACTGCTCATGTTGTGTCTTAGAGGCAAATAGGCTGTTTTTTGTCATCAGATATTTTAGTCAGATTATGGCAGACTGGCCATGTTTTGAATCTCAAGATTTATCCTGTTAGATTGATGTGCTTTTGTTTATACTTGCTTTTGGTCGTCTGGAATACCAGCTAGTTTATTTTGTCATATGCTATTCTTAGAGCATCTGTTGTGCACAACATGTTTTTTTTTTAGTAATTTCATAACAATCTGAAAAATAATGCTTGTTGGACTTTCCATGAATACAGTACAGAACCTGGTCTGAAACTGGGCTGACATTTTTCTTTCTTCAACAATTGGTCAGTGAAAAGAGGATTTGTTTAGAGGTCATGTTTAAATGCAGGGATTGTTACATTGTACTTACACAAATAAGAACGGAGTAGGCTAATATTAATGAATTACTTGTACTTACTATAGAGTTATGGTTAGGGTTTGTAGTTACTGATAAATATATCTATGTATTAATTTACATTTTTTTCTTACAATATGATGGGTAAATGGGTAGTATTCAGTAACAATAAGTGATGTGTGTCTAACAATCTATTAACATATTCTTACAACAAAAAAGTCATGGAATTTGTGTTTCTAATGCTTAAAAAAAGTTAAAAATCCCACAATTGCTCTGAAAACCGAAATGGGTTTATATTTCAGTGGTGATTCTGACGGTTTGTCGTTTATTCTCGTTTCTTTTCCTAAACTTCTCCTCTGTTGCCTGATGTTAACTCACCCCATTATTTCTGTCACTAAGAGGATTGTTTTGAATCTCAGATGGTCTAAAGTGTCAATTGCAAGATGCTGTCGGGCTAGACGTATAAGAAGTCTGTTTTTAATTTGTGCGTTTGAGGCAGTAATCATTGCCTCAGACTTTTGGGGACGTGGTGGTGAAGTTCAGCTTCAGAATTGTACGTTTTATGTTTCCAGTGATGCTCCACTGCAAATACTAATTGTGAGAGAGTCAAACCTCCAATTAAATCTGCATTTAAATGCTTGTTTTATTGGCTCAGCGTGGCCTGTGGAGGTGGATGATCTGCGTGGAGAAAGCCGACCCCAGCTCCATCACACCACACAGCAGCCCACAGCTTCAGCACACTACCAGCAAGGTACAACACAGTACACAAGACAAACACTTTCACTGATCATATTTAAGGTTTTTAATATGAAAAGAATTGGTTTAAAAGATAAATAATAGGTGTAATGTCTTCCATAGGTTATAGACCAAGACATCCAAAGAGAGGAAGGTATCAGCTTGCACCGAGGTGAGCTCCATCCACCCATCAATCCATTCATCCATCCACCCATACATCCATCCATCCATCCACCCACCCACCCACCCATCCATCTATCCACCCATCCAATCCAATCCATCCACCTAATCCAGTCCAATCCACCCACCCATCCATCCGATCCACCCATACATCCAATCGATCCATCCATCCAATCCAATCCATCCACCCACCCATCTATCCCTCCCGTCCAATCCCATCCATCCATCCACCCATTTATCCAATCCACCCATACATCCATCCAATCAGATCCAATCCCACCCATCCATTCACCCACCCACCCATCCATTCACCCACCCATCCATCCATTCACCCACTCATCCATCCAATCCACCCATACATCCAATCCATCCAATCCCATCCACCCACCCACCCATCCATTCACCCATCCATCCATCAACCCACCCACCCATCATCCATCCATCCATCCATCCATCCACCCAATCCACACATCCATCCATCCAATCCACCCACCCACCCACCCATCCATTCACCCACCCATCCATTCACCCACCCATCCATCCATCCACCCACCCACCCATCCATCCATCCACCCACCCACCCATCCATCCATCCATCATCCATCCATCCATCCATCCACCCACCCATCCATCCAATCCACCCATACATCCAATCCATCCAATCCCATCCACCCACCCACCCATCCATCCATCGACCCACCCACCCATCATCCATCCATCCATCCATCCATCCATCCACCCAATCCACACATCCATCCATCCAATACACCCACCCACCCACCCATCCACCCACCCACCCATCCATCCATCCACCCACCCACCCATCCATCCATCCATCCATCCATCCATCCATCCATCATCCATCCATCCATCCACCCACCCATCGATCCATCCACCCATCCATCCAATCCACCCATACATCCATCCAATCTGATCCAATCCCATAAATCCCCCCACCCCCCACCCACCCCCCACCCACTCACCCACCCACCCACCCACCCATCCATTCATCCATCCATCCATCCACCCACCCATCCATCCATCCATCCATCCACCCAATCCATCCATACAATCCAATCCACCCTCCCACCCATCCAATCCCATCCCATCCAATCCTATCCCACCCAATCCCATCCATCCATCGTTTGGTGATGTATCTAGTAGTAGAATTAGCAATCTACTTCTAATCTGTATTGATTTTTTTTCTCTTCATTTTGTTATAGATGGCCAAAGTCTCAAAACACAGACTGATGAAAAAAATTTACTCTTGTGGAAACAATTGTCCCCAACAGAGCAAAGCACTAATAAACTGCATTCTAAGATGCGAATGTTCGTGATATGGACGCCGTCATTTAGATTTTGCCCTTTTGTTTTGACCTCAGATGATTAGTGACAGATTTATTTGCAGTATTTGTGCATCACTCAACTTAAAAACATGAAATAGTGCATGATTGTGCAGTTTTTGGGCAGGGATAAGCCTGTGTTATGGCTGAACACAGATTCTGTGTTCAGTGATATCCTGAAAAGCCCTCAGAATTATATCTTATAGTGAGATTACAGTCTTTTTTCTTTTCCATGGGGATGATATGAATCAGTGACCAAAATGGAAGCTTCCTAAACTGTGTGCCAAACCCATTCATTCAGCTCAGACCCTAATTAGTATCAGATGATCTCTTACCTTTCAACTGCTGGTTTGACGTTGACTCCAGTTGTTCGCAGTAAAAAATGTTTTTTTGTCTCCCTCAACACATTTCGATTCTAGATTTTCAAGCAGCCATTCTTTAAAAAATTGGTAATAATAATGTGTGTCATAGCGTTGAAAGACGCGGTTAATGTGATCCAAAGCAGCCGGATGGAGAGATGTTTGGACAGAATCGTGGTTTTGGCATATCGTGGCCAAAATGCTCCCACTTTAACCTCATATTTTGTTGATAGTCTGTTTCATGACCGTCGAGTCTGTATGTTCTAGTATTGCATACTTTTTGTTTGCTCGTGCACTATTTTATGTCATGCAAACATTAAAAACAACCTGAAATATTACAAGTATTACATGTTTGTTCAAGAGCAGGTTGTTTGAATTTTCATCTTTAGCCAAGCTTAAAGGACACATTCTGATTTTTTTATGTTTTTGAAGAAACCTAGGCTAAGGCTACATTTATTTGATCAAAATACACTAATACTGTGAAATGTTACAATTCAAAATTGTTTTCTATGTTCATATATTTTAAAATGTAATGTATTGAAGGATCAAGTGACAATGAAGACTGCAGTAGTGGTAACTTCTTTCAAAAAATCTTAATTATCCCAGTTTTAAATGGTTGAAACTCATATCAGGATAAAAAATCAGTTAATTTATTTATTACGGTAGTGATAATGAGCTGTTTTCTCTTTGCCCACAAGGCTGTGAATCAGTCCCTCTGCTAGGTCTTGTTAAACATCCCGGAGCGGAAATAGGATATGGAGAAAGTTCCATAGCTTAAGTGGTCAAAGCACACCTCTTCCCCTTATCTACAGAGTATGAAAGCCACAGGAATGAAAAACAGTGCTAAACAAACACGTGACTTGGTGAGGAATTGCTAGAGCATATAGGCACAGCAGGAAATAGAGGCGACAGATTTATTCATGCAAAAACAAGAGCAGATTGACGAACCTTTGGCAGTTGAAAAGACTCAAGTGTTTGGAATTGACAGTAGGAGATCATTGAACATTGAAAAGCATGAAACTATTATTGCAGTCCATTTGGAAATCACATAGAAGTCTGAAAGGAAGAGAACAATGGAACTGAGATGGTGCTGTGGGAAGTACGAAATATGAACAGTAACTCGTAATAAAAATTGTGACGTTATTATATTAATTTCACAATTAGCTCTTTCAAAATCCATCCATACAGTTCTAAAATAAAGCGAAGAGTGTCAATAGTACTTTCAATAGCAATAGAGCACAAGCCAAACCAACATTATAAGCTTATATACAGAGGTAGTTTAAATTGTAGGAATATTTCACAATAAAACAGTTTTTACTATATTTTTGATCAAATAAATGCCCCAACCCCAAACTTTTGAATATATATTTATATTGTGAATATCACTTTTGTATACACACACATTTCTAAACAGAGATGGCTGGTCGTTGTTCAGTTCTTTTGTTATTATTTTCTTTTCCATGGCTCTATTGAATAAGTTTATATGTTTTCTTTATGAAGAAAACGAGTATTTATTTATTTTGTCCCACCCGGAACCCAACTGTTGCACTTCAATGGATAGGGCTGGCATGTTTCTTATGCAAATGTCGCATTGAATGGGTTATTTTTAAGTGTATAGAATCATTTCCTGCGCGGCGTTTCGCTTTGATTCTAAATCTGTTTGCTCAGACTGCCCCGTCCTGGCACGGCCCGGGTGCCGATTGTGCATCCAGCCCTTTTTTTAAACTAAATAAATAAAACCACCAGATTAGCAACACTACAACACATTGTCCTTTTCATCTGTTTAATTATAGCATATGTTTGAATGTGTGCACTACTGGTAAATATAGCCTGTATTCTGATGGCAGTGTGGTCACAGCTCAGAGCTAGCGTGAGGGTGGGCGGCAGTCAGCGTTTGTTCTGCGTCAGGAACTGGAGGGTGGAGGTGGGGACACACGCTGCCACAAGAAGCCAGACTTTGGCACGCTGTCATCACTGTTTCCTTCACAGAGCACGAGAGAGACGGAGGGAGGGAAAGCAGGCATGATGGAGCCGACAATTATCTGGCGCTCGCATATTCTTTTTCTCCTTGTGAAGTTGAGGACAGGAGGGGCTGCTCTTTAAGAGTCTGGGGTCTCTACTGGGAAAAGATGTCTCGGGTATGACGGAGGAGAGAGATTGTGGGCATTTTTTGGGAAAAAATTGTAGTTCCCAAAAAAAACAGCAACCACAGTAACACTCTACTTCCAATGACCTATAATAGGTCGATTCTGCTCTGTGTGCGAGTAATTACATGATTCAGTGTTTAATGCTGCAATTATTTGTTTTGGCGTCCCGAGCGCAGTTAGCCAAACGTCAGCCATCCTCAAAACTAGATTTTTTGTAATGCACTTTAATAAAGTGCTAGATTCCGCATTTTTGGTACTATACCATTCAGTAGCACCTCATTGCAGTACACGAGATCCAGGGGGCGTAGTTGAATCCAAATTTAAGGGGTGGAGATGGGTAGGATTAGGGGTGGGGTTAGGGATCAGGTGGTGGAGATGGGTAGGATTGGGGGTGGGGTTTGGGATCAGGTGGCGGAGATGGGTAGAATTAGGGGTGGGGTTAGGGATCACGTGGCGGAGATGGGTAGGATTGGGGTGGGGTTAGGGATCAGGTGGCGGAGAAAGGTAGGATTAGGGGTGGGGTTAGGGATCACGTGGCGGAGATGGGTAGGATTGGGGTGGGGTTAGGGATCACGTGGCAGAGATGGGTAGGATTAGAGGTGGGGTTAGGGATCAGGTGGCCGAGAAAGGTAGGATTAGGGGTGGGGTTAGGGATCACGTGGCGGAGATGGGTAGGATTGGGGTGGGGTTAGGGATCAGGTGGCGGAGATGGGTAGGATTAGGTGTGGGGTTAGGGATCAGGTGGCGGAGATGGGTAGGATTAGGGGTGGGGTTAGGGATCAGGTAGCGGAGAAAGGTAGGATTAGGGGTGGGGTTAGGGATCAGGTGGCGGAGATGGGTAGGATTAGGGGTGGGGTTAGGGATCAGGTAGCGGAGAAAGGTAGGATTAGGGGTGGGGTTAGGGATCAGGTGGCGGAGATGGGTAGGATTAGGGGTGGGGTTAGGGATCAGGTAGCGGAGAAAGGTAGGATTAGGGGTGGGGTTAGGGATCAGGTGGCGGAGAAAGGTAGGATTAGGGGTGGGGTTAGGGATCAGGTGGCGGAGATGGGTAGGATTAGGGGTGGGGTTAGGGATCAGGTAGCGGAGAAAGGTAGGATTAGGGGTGGGGTTAGGGATCAGGTGGCGGAGATGGGTAGGATTAGGGGTGGGGTTAGGGATCAGGTGGCGGAGATGGGTAGGATTGGGGTGGGGTTAGGGATCAGGTGGCGGAGAAAGGTAGGATTAGGGGTGGGGTTAGGGATCAGGTGGCAGAGATGGGTAGGATTGGGGTGGGGTTAGGGATCAGGTGGCGGAGAAAGGTAGGATTAGAGGTGGGATTAGGGATCAGGTGGCGGAGAAAGGTAGGATTAGGGGTGGGGTTAGGGATCAGGTGGCGGAGATGGGTAGGATTGGGGTGGGGTTAGGGATCAGGTGGCGGAGAAAGGTAGGATTAGGGGTGGGGTTAGGGATCACGTGGCGGAGATGGGTAGGATTGGGGTGGGGTTAGGGATCACGTGGCGGAGATGGGTAGGATTAGGTGTGGGGTTTAGAGGCCTGCATTTCAGCCCGAGCCCGACGGGCCCCGACTTATTTACACTCCTCGGGCCGGGCTTCGGGCCAATTTTAACGTCATAGTTCAGACGCGGGCCGGGCCTCGGGCCTGTTTTAGGCTTATCTTTTTTATAGCCTATTTTAGATATTACTTAAAATAAAATATGAGAAGATGACTATTGAAAAGCAAACATAGAAAGACGTTTTATAACCTATCATACTGACATATATGACTGACAGTCTGCTCACGGCACGCACACGCGCACACAGGTTTCCCGGCAACGCGATCCGCGCGACCGGCTCGTTCTCTGTTTAGTGTCCCGCCAGCAGCAGAAGTAGTGAGCGTGACTTCAGCGCAGCTGGAAAAAGTACGACTGGATTAAAACTTTCCGCGGTGGATGGTGCTTTTTCTGCACGATGCTCTGTAAGAGACAGTTTAGGAGGTTGTCTTGTTGTTTTTTGTTTGATTGGACTTTAGTTTCATGAGTCTGTTGGAAACTTTTGGAAATACGAATGGCCATGTTCTGTAGTGAAGACTTGATTTTTGAGGTAAGATAACCTGCATGTTTGTTTTTAATGTAGGGCCTAATTTATTTGATTTGTTTAGATTGCATTCTCTGTATTGTATTGTATATTGTATTGTACGAGTGCTGTTGCGAGCAGCGGAGCAGTTTGCCTCAGCTTTTCAAAAATGACAATAAACGTTTAACAAACGTTTAAACTAACGTTAACTGTCTGTGTGAATATGTTTAAGTTGTTTTATATCTATGGATTTTATTGTAGCCAAGTAAAGTGTTGATTTGAGAGGCTATAAATGGATCAAACATGTTTAACTCGCTGTCGGGTGCTTGGTCGTCATAAAAAAATAAATAAAAAGAAACATTTGCCTTAATTAACTTGATAAAGAAATGAAAATAATCTAAACGGTAACTACTTTGTCATTGAGGACAAAACATATCTGTTTAAATGACTGCTGCAACAGGGCAGGCTGTGTAAGGTGTGTTTTTTTTTGTTGTTTTTTTTAAATAACGGGCTCGGGTCGGACTCGGGCTGATCATTCTGATGAGCTGTCGGACACGGGCCGGGCTAGGGCCTGGACGTCTCGGGCCAGGGCCGGGCTAGGGCCTAGATTTGAGGCCCGTGCAGGGCTCTAGTGGGGTTAGGGATCAGGTGGCGAAGATGGGTAGGATTGGGGTGGGGTTAGGGATCAGGTGGCGGAGAAAGGTAGGATTAGGGGTGGGGTTAGGGATCAGGTGGCGGAGATGGGTAGGATTAGGCGTGGGGTTAGGGATCACGTGGCGGAGATGGGTAGGATTAGGTGTGGGGTTAGGGATCAGGTGGCGGAGAAAGGTAGGATTAGGGGTGGGGTTTGGGATCAGGTGGCGGAGATGGGTAGGATTAGGGGTGGGGTTAGGGATCAGGTGGCGGAGATGGGTAGGATTGGGGTGGGGTTAGGGATCAGGTGGCGGAGAAAGGTAGGATTAGGGGTGGGGTTAGGGATCAGGTGGCAGAGATGGGTAGGATTGGGGTGGGGTTAGGGATCAGGTGGCGGAGAAAGGTAGGATTAGAGGTGGGATTAGGGATCAGGTGGCGGAGAAAGGTAGGATTAGGGGTGGGGTTAGGGATCACGTG